ATAGTATGGTAAGTGGGGACACATAGCGTCATAGCCAGGTTCGTGTTTGTTGGGAATAGGTATATATTTTGATATTACTGTATTTAAAAATAGAATTGGGAAAATTTGTTTATGTGACTGTCTCGGTCTTGGATACTCATAATTCAGATACCTACCGACTAAACCTGTTTACATAAACAAAACTTAATTTTGTGTGTAAATATATATTTTAATAAAAATATAATATTTTTTTAATATTTTTATCCTCATCAATCGTTATCATACTTAAATAAAAATGTTTAGATTTGTTTTATTGCATAATTTTATAATTTTAAAGAATTGTTTTTATTGACGGGGGCCCACAACCATGTATTGGCCCCTGGGCCCCTGAAGCTAGGTCAGAAGCTAGCTCTTGATCCGGGCTTGCCTGTCGAGTATTATATTTTGGTCAAGTTCGTGAATAACTTATAACTCACCATTGTTTAATAGTTGTTTTTTCTCAGTCCTGTTTTTCAGACTCCCCGAACAGCATGACGTGAATGTATCGTAAACGTTTTGACTTTTGCCGTTTTTGGTGTACACATTCATATTAGTCCACGTATATGTGATGCTTTGGTTAACTTGTTTGTTGGTACCCGTTCCGTTGGAATGTTCCTAAAAAATATCATGTTGAGATTATAATTTGCATTTTATCCACTCGTAGTATTAATCTTTGTTTAAAGTATCTAATTTTTTTTAATTCCGGACATTTACACGCTTAACATTTTGCTTGAGGCCCTAAACGGTATACATTTTGGTCACACAGTTACTTATATAAAAATAAATGCAGAGCTACTATACGAAATTCAAAACAACCAGTAACCAAATGTTGCGTTTTTTCCAAGTGGCGAAATCATATAAGAAAGAATTAAATTTAATCAGGCTGTCTTTGGATATTTTTTGATACAAAAACTTTTTTTTTTTAATATATTTATCATTCAATTTTTGCATACATACTAGAATTACTATAAAGTATAAAATATTATGAATACGTTTTTGCAAGACAGTAATAACTTTAACGTATGCACTTAGTGGTGCATCTTTCAATTCATTACAATTTGAGTACTCAAATTGGTATAATTCATGTATTTTGAATGTTGCCCCTAGTAGCACGTTTTTCATTAATTTGTTTGAAAAACAGTGACAAAATCTTTTATCGAGAAAAACAGAATTCGTGTTAAGATAGAATTAGGTAAGCAACATTTAAAGTATTTTACATACGTATAACAGGATTTGATCTATAATCACCAATATATTGTCCAAATAGTATTATATTGGTATCTAGAGATAAGAAAATTCTTTGGACCATGTTATTAAGGAAGTGACATACTAAAAATACTTATCATATATTATATAATAATAATTATTATAAATCATGTTTTTAATATTTTATTAAATTACTTTCAGATTTTAATGTGTTGTAATGTGATCAAAAGACACAATACATCATTTGGTGTTGAAAACTGTGTAGTATATATAATTATAATTTATAATTATACATAAACACTTACGATTATACGAAGTTATGTAACACCATTTAGTAACCACTGAAAATAATTACCGTTACAATACTGTTAAGTGAACCGAGTAATTTATCTTCGGAAATATGTTTAATATCATATTCAGATGAATGTTTATATTTCAATCAATGGTTTCATATGATGATTAAATGCATAATATATATGTTGTATATATCTATTAAAGTGCTCATTTTCAATGATCAATATCAACTTTTTTTTTACATATTGTATAGTATAGACTATAAATCTATTTGAAATGTTTTTAGTGACTAGGTATTTTAAAACTATTAGATTGGATTTAAAATATTTTATTTCGTGATACTTAAGCTAATATAAGTGAAAAATCAAATTGTAAAGTTTACTTTTATAAATCATAAATATAGTCTTACTAGTCTAAAATTAAATTTGTGATACCTCTAGTAAATATATATATACATATTATGTACAATAAATTAATAACACGATTAAAGGAGCCTGAAGAATTTTTTAAGAGGCTGGGTTCTACCAATTTTTCAAATAACTAATTGCAGTAATGAAATTCACTAGGATTCTTTATTACTTGACTTATTTTTAAGTACCATTACTTGCTATATTAAATGTTAATAATACTATAGTAGATAACAATCTTAACAATAACTTGAATACCTAACAAATAAAATCTTTATGAGCTCTAACATAATAATAGAAAAAAAATATTATAAGCAATTTACCAAGTAAAATTTTGCCTAATTTTCACATAAGTACTCAATATCCATGCATTTAATATTGATTTGGATGCTGTTTGTGTCACAAATCGTAATATTAAATTATTGCCTATTAATATACTTGAAATAGACCTGAAACATTAACAGTGAAAACTGTTGTAGTGTATTTGATTTTATGTTTTATTTTCACATTATTGAAACATAGTTTAAGAGGTTGCCGAAAAAAGTCTTAATTTAATTTAATAAAATATATTAACATTTTAAAATGTATTCGTGTAAAATAAAAGTAGATTTTTTAATAAAATTGTAATATTTAAATTTACTGTTATAATTAACTAGCCAAATTTAAATATGTATATGTAAATTTTTATACAACGATATTTTATAATAATAAATAATAATAATTAAGAAGGGAAATATTTTTTTTGCCTTCAAACCAAGGTTAGTTGTTATTAAATGATATTATTGTTTAATACGACTATTTATTAGATTTTTAGATACTTAGTGAATTATTATATATTTTTATGTTGTGACTGGAAATATTTAAACGATAAAATATTATTATGCAGCCTATCCATATTGATACTCGTATATAGTATTTTTTTAGAAAGCACAATATCCAACATTGAGATATACCACTTTAACATAATAATAAATTGAAAATAAAGTGAGTGAAAAATATCTTGCACAACCACGCATACCTAAAACTGGTTTGAAGAAGAATTTATTTCTTGTTTAACTATTTATAAATTTAATATTATAATATTATGCTACAACCTTCAAGGATATAATTGTTTTAGTTCAGTACAGAAAAATCATCATTCATTTTTATAATAAGAGCTTAGGTTTATAAAGTCGTTCGTAAACTGTCAGTTACGCATACGTAAATACTTATAACACGACTATGTACTAAACATCTATTATTTATAAGTTATAACATAATTAGAAGTATTTATTTCTTATTTTTTCTACTCACGTGCATTTAATTAAAATAACTATCAAGTATTAAAGTTATATTTTATTAAACTGTACACCTCTATAGTAGATTAATATTTGGTTCCATAAAAATGTATAATTTTTTTTATAATCGTATTGTATATGCGAGTATTTGAAAAATATTATACTTTTTTTAATAATTGTTTAAAATATGAAAATGCGTTTTAAATGCTACACGTCATTGTGTATAGTTTTTTCGTAGTAATATTCATAATTGTACACATGTACCTTAGTTTCACGTGGTACGTAATATCTGAATGAACCCGATTTTAATACTGATAAATTATAAAGATAAGAACATTTTAATATTTTAATTACTAATTATTATTATAGAATATGTCTCACAAAGAATTACTTGTTTTAAAATACTTTAATTAAATTATGTATATTATAGATTGTTCTTACTTCTAAGTTCTTAGTTTTGTTATGTATGAAAAGGTAAACGCCTAAACTTATCAACTCATTAATCTGAATCAATTCTTTAGAGTAGTATAATATTATTCGAGACACAGTTAAATAATATTCATGCTTGCATAGTTGTTCATATTTTTCGTAATCGAGGAAAATATTCAAAATGTTGTATTTAGTCCGTCATCAACAATGTTTAACATGTTCTATTGAAAGGATTACCCAGACAATGTGGTTTTATTCAACATTTTATTTTTTTAATTTTGTTAAGAAATTATGAAGATAACAATGTATTATATTTTCAAGCTTTTTAACTGAGTATACATATATTTATCAACATTTATAGAAATAAAAAACTCAAAATTTCAAAAAGAGTTTTTTTATTTTGATGAAGATATTAACTACATTTGTATGAGTATATGAATTCTTGAAAGTTGCAGTTGGTTGTGCAATCGATAGTCGATCCTTATACACGTGATTTTTCTACAGATGTGAAACTGTTGTAAAATTTAATGAATATCATAAGATTAATTGTTAAGAACTTCTATTTTTTTATTTTTTTATAGTTAAATGAACGGTTGGGTTGAATAAACATCTTGTTGAGGGTGAAGGGAATCTATTATATTTTATTTTTCATATTGTAAAATTATTGATTTATTGATTTTAAAGAAATAATAATTACATGTATTATGTAGTTTTTTTAATTGTTTTTCTTTTATTATTTCGAATACTATTTTATTTTATAAAAATGTAATTTAAAAATGAAAACACCTAATATAACAGTTCATAGCGCCGCTATGATAGTACCGATAGTATTTATATTAAATATACTAATACAATTATATATTAAATTAAATTTTAATAATATATTAATTTATAGTGCATATTTAGTAATATTTTGTGTGTGTTTTTAGGGCTTTAAGTTCCTGGCATAGTGGTTGGTAATCGTTAAAGGTAAAAAAGTTATGTCAACGAATTTAAAGTGAAAATAATAAATTGAGTGTTTTTCATTGCATTAGAACATTTTTATTTTTATAAAACTTAAAAATATTTTAATAAAACAATAATATTATGTAATATACCTAAATATATTATATAATATCTAAATGATATTTAGTTTATTAATTTTATACGAATTTATAACTAAATGTTAATTATATGTAAATTTTAAACAATATATACATACCTATTTATGATTAAAAAAAATTTTTTTATGATGTGTTATAATATTATTATAAATTTATTTAAATACGTTACAACGTAACCAACACATGGGACCAATTATAAAGCAAATAAATAATTGTTATCTGTATAGTATATCATAGATATATAACATATATATATAGTTGATTTTATACATTATAAAAGAGAATATGTGTAAGACTCTGATTTATAGTCTCAAAAATACTAATCGATCGATTTTGTCAATTTCAGTGATTATTCCCTTCAATTTTAGGAAGGTTTGGAGAATAATTTAAATCGCTTCTGATCTATGGCGCTGAACAAATCATATTTCTGTTGACTACATATCATATAAACTACAATTTTTTTTCCTGGACAAAGTCAGTGGTACTTTTTTTATACAGTTAATGTTTATAAAGTAATAATAAAATAATACTATGATATACGTAGACAATATAGATATAATATCATTTAATGTATATGTGAAGTTTACAGTGACAGATGTCAATTAAATAGAGTACAGAAAAAAGTTTGGATTAGAAAATATAATTGATTTATTGTTAATATGGCCAGACGACAACTAGAAGATAATATAGGTACTACTTAATAAATTAATATTGATTTTTTCTTGCGATATCGTTTTCCGGCCATGTAGTAACGTATTCGGAATCGAATATGTTTCGTGTTATCAAAGGTGTCAACAGTTTACCAAACGATTTTTATAGTTATCTTTTTACTGAACGGCGTGCGTCATGTGATGAACTAAGACCTAAGTATATATGTAGATTTCTTAGGAATAATAGCT